GGGGGGGGGGCGGTGAGTAAGAGGTTGGGAAGAAAATATCTGAAAATAGTATACACCTGGGTGCAAGTTCAAGACTGAGGCCCGGTGGATTTGGCATAGCTGCTGTTAATCCTTGAACACATCCTTGTAAAATTACTACATCGGATTTCCATGCAGAATTTCTGTTTGGTCTTGATAATTTCGGTAATATTCGTCACTGGATTGTCTGATCGCCCACATCATCATCACTTGGCCTGGCAGCCACCTTCACAGTGGTAGATTGTGCGCTATTTTCCCGCATTATCTATTTTATTTTTAATCAAAGCACTAAGTGACAGTGGGCCTATGATTTTTTCACTTTTTTCTTTTGAATCAGTTTAACTGTTTAGCATTGCAAGGCAATCAGGAAGATGCATTTTTGTTGCGCATTGTGGAAGGCTATTGCTCCACATCGAATCCGGCAAAGCGAATACCAGCAGGCAGTGGAATGCAGACGTCCGTCTCCCGGGAATATGATCCACCACAATTAATTGTGGCCGAAAATGAAAAAATGTTTGTGGAAGAAGTGATTGGCGATAAAGTGGTCGTTAAGGAACGGTAAGTGTCAATAGAGCTCGAGAGACAGAATGGCGACGAATTTTTTATGAATTAATTTCTCCTCCTTGAACGCCATCCTTAAAAAGTGGTCGATTTGGATTTCGTTGTTTTTTTTTCTCACAAAATTTATTTCAGCTGTCATCGTCCTAAGCATCATCTCCCTGCGTGTCCTGTTTTAAAGAAGCCAATTAGAATAGGCCTTTTGAATAGTGTTTTTCTCGCTTCCTCCTTCCAAATGAAGTAGTATTTTTGGCCACTGAGTGGATATATCATTAGGGGAATTGAAGACAGGATAAGGGAAGAGGGAAAGGAGTAGGGAATTGATGTTTGACTTTTGATATTCAATTTAATAGTGATATTTGCAGAAGTCTTGTTGATACTGTTTATGCGCTGAAGGATCAACTTACCGATTTACAGAAGGTCAGTTTTGCGCTAAATTTTAGCGCAATTTCAAGGAATTGACAGAAAAAGTTAAGTAAATTTTTGATAGTAGGCTGCTTGCACTGATTGGGCTTTGAAGACAATTCGCTTATAATTTTTTCATTTGTAAAATTCGAAAGCGAAGTTTTGGAACCTTTAGCTTTTCTCTTTACCTTTCATTGGGAAAATGTGGGGGCTTTATTAGTTTACTGTACTGCCCTGACCACCGGATTGTCCATATTTCGAAATTTTGCTCAGGAAATCTGCATCAGAACCCCTTCCCCTTTCATGTATTCTGATAATGTGATTGTGTAGCCGCTTCCCTTTTACGCTTTTCGGTGATTCCTTCTGAAGAGGTTTCCTAGTGATTGGTTGCTAGATGGCCTTTGCAAAGAAAGTTGCGTGTGGATAAACAGTCGTTATACGTCAATAGTTTCAACGTTATGAAAACTTATACTTTCGAAATCTTAAAATTCTTTTAAGGAATTACGTCAACTGAATAAGACAGTCGATCGTGAACAAAAAGCTCGTCGTCGGCTCGAAGAATTGGTAAGGCGAATGTACCATAACCAGCAGCAGCAGCAGCAACAACAACAGCAACAACATCAACAGCAGCTATCAACAAGTATAACTGGCAAGCTAACACCACGTGAACCAGTGAATGCCGAAAGTTCAACGCTTCACTGAAATGTGTGCGTTTCTTATTTCGACCTCACTCTGTACGTTTGTGACAAGCAGTATCTCTTTTTTTGTATATTGTTAAGGCAGCTGTTTGTCTGAATGACCGATATGTTATTTCATTATATTTTAGCCTCAGAGTTGAGGGAATTTAGCTGAAAATTCCTCGTCAGCAGCTACGAAGCGTGATTTGCGTTCTATTTAGGTGCAAGAGATTTATCAGCCATTAGCTGACCATACGGGATATCTGATATAGATTGAGAAATGGTTTTCCGACCCCCCAAAATTCAGGATTTCTGAATCAACTAGCAAAGGTGAGCTGCAACAGAAAGGGTTTAGCTCCCGTAACTAACTCTTTATTCTTTCCTTACCCATGTGAAAAGCGGATAATGCAAGAATAGAGCGTTCACAAGAATAGCGATAGAAGTACCAAGGAACGGAAGCTGTGTATAGGCCAGACAGATTGAGTGGAATGATTTGTGATGTGAAATTTAGAAGAATAATTGCTCGCAATCCCGTTGCTTCAGATAATAGCACAAGTATTTTGCATAAGTAATACTGATGCGGGTGAGATATTCACACGCTTTTACGACCTTCATGGGGAAGGGGAAGGAGAGGGGCAAGGGGGTAGGGACAGTATTGTGCTGCTCTCGTTTTTGCATCAATGAAGTTGATTGTCTTTCCCCATATTTATGTGAGAAATTTGACATATTTGCTCCTTTAATTTACATAATTCTCTATTCTGTTTCCTAATATATTCTTGTTTGGGAGCGTTTTATTGATCCTGTCTTTTTTAAAGGTCTTTTTTCCAGATTTTTAATG